CCAGGCTGCTGGGGCCGCACAGCTGGACCCTGTCACAGAAAACAAAACAAAACAAACAAAACCCCAAGCCAGTGCCGTTGTTTATGTATTCATCCGGTTGCCCTGCTCTCTGCCCATAGTTTTCAACACTCTTCTCCTCGCTACCTTATCACCCCAAATCAAGCAAACCGACCTAGCGCTTCAGGATCAAATCGCAGACAGAGGTCAGGGCGAGTTGCTGCAGTAGTGAAATAAATATTAATAGACCTAAAATTTTATGTTCTAGCTAAAATTTACAGAAAGCAATTTCTGTGGAACACTTTGTGGTACAGGGTTTTTTCAGGAGTTCATCTCTAAGCACGTGTAATAACTAATAGAATTCTCCCAGAAATCATTCTTTCTAAGCTAAAACATGAAATATACCTGCCACTTAAACACAGCATATTATTTTAAGTGGTCTCTCTAGTCCTCTCTCCCCTGTATCCAATAAATCTGCTCATAAAATACTGCAATGTGATGACTGCTATTATTAATCTTAGCGTGAATATATTAATTAGGGTTGTACAACTGAACTGTAAGCTCTATTCAAACAATATTTACCTAGTTAATAATATTCCAACAATACTTGGTTGAAAAATAAGTATTTAGAGGTGTCTAAGATGAAACGTTTCTCTTTTTTTTTAAACTATCTTATTTTCATGGCAAAAAAAAAAAATACAATAAAAACACATTTTAAGAATGCTTTAGGGCTGAGGAGATGGTGCAGTAGAATAAGCGCTTCCCTGGCAAACGCAAGAGCCTGAGTTCAATCCCCAGGGCTGCCAAACAAAAACAAACAAACAAAAAAGAATGCTTTAAAAGGGTCGGTCAAATAGCTCAGTGGATTAAAGCACCTGCAAGCAGGCGCAGGGGCCAGGAGTTCGATCCCCAGGCCTGCCCTGCTGGCCCCGCCCCCTGGGGCATGCCGAGATGGCAATTGAGACTGGACACAGTGGCATGCGCCTATAATCCCAGCACTTGGGAGGCTGTAAACAGGCGGATTACTATGAGTCCGATCTAGTTGTGAGACCCTGAACACCCTGTAGACCTTTCCCTAAAATACAGAAGGAAAAAGAAAAAAGAAAAAAAAAAAAAAAAGAAAACAAAGAATGTTTTAATTGAGAGAAATAGCAAAACTAGTATCAACATCTGATATTACTCTGACTGAGAACTCAGCTATGGAAAAGCTATACTTTTTTAAAACCAAAATTACATAATGTGTTAAATTTTCAAACATAAATTTATTGCTACACCAAAGCTTCAAACAGCACTTTACAGGCATTCCTTGGTGATTTTTTTTTTTGGGGGGGGGTGTTCTTGTTTTGTTTATTGGGTGATCCTGTCTCACTATGCAGTCAGGGCTGGTATCCAACTCACAGTGATCCTCCTGCCTCAGCTTCCCAAGTTCTGGGATTACCCACATACATACCACACCTGGCCCTTGACATTCCTTGTTTAATAGCCTACCTGGTTAACTGTTTGGATTAAACAACCCAGACACACTGTTCAAATTTACAACCCTCTTATGGGGGGGTGTACAGTGCTGTACATCTTGTTTAGAGATTGACTAGTTATATAGTACTGTAATTCTTGCTGATCATACTGTATAGTATAGTACTGTAATTTTCTATTCTGTTATACAGTACTTAGTGTATGAGTTATATAAATAAAAGCAAAGTTATCAGGTTGGAGTTTCCTTTGGCCAATTCTCTGTTCTGAATATTATAATGTATATGCTACATACAAGTCATGTAACCATCGAGTCAGTTAACATAGTGGCTGAATTAGTTGTTCAAGGAGGAATGTTGTTTGTAAGAATCAGACTTACAGGCCCAGTGAGATTGCTCAGCAAACTAAGCACCTGCTCAGGCAAGCACAGGGACCAGGTTTGATCCTCAACACCACATGCTGCACCAGCCCCACCCCCAGGTGTGCTGAGCCAGCCACTGAGACTGGCCGTGGTGGCACATGCCTACACTCCCAGTGCTGGGGAGGCTGAGAACAGGAGGATCACCACAAGTCAGAGCTGCACAGTGAGACCCTGTACCAAATACATTAAAAAAAAAAAAAAAAAAAAAAGAATTACAGTTACACAGGGAAGCACTTTAATCTTCTAGAGAAGGAAGATATACATATGCATGTTTAAACCTCATTTTGGCTAACGAACATTATTTTAGGTGAAATGCAGCAGGTACACTAACATTATAATACAACATGTGACAGTTTGGTGTTGAAAACCACTAAATGTTTACAGAAAGTTTCTGAAGCCAGGTAAATAATTACATGTTCTTGGGAGACTTTATCTATTTATGTTAATAAAATTTAAAGTAAGATGGATTGGTGACACTACATAGTTCATACAGATGCTCATCTTCCCTGTAAGTCTATTAGAACCTGAAAGCACGGTAAGTTCAAAATGCACTTAATAAACCCCAACTCTAGAGGAGCAACCGAGAGCTATTTTCCTTTGTAATTAGGGGCAGATTACAAGCAGGGGCCCCTTGTTGCTGTTGGCCAGCATCGCAAGAAAAGTCACACTGCACAGCACTCGCCCAGGAGTGCTCACACCATTGAGGTTCTCACGCCATTGTGAGGTCTAGAAATTGTTAGCTCCAACCAATGCAAGCTGGGGACTATACGAACTTTCACAGCTACAAAAATTGATTTTATGTACAATGATGTGATTTTTAACATTTTTACTAGAAACCTATTATATCTGACAAAAATAAGCATTGTTATTTACAATGGATCAGTAACAGGTCATACATAACTATTGGAAAATATCGCTAAAAGGGAAAAAAGACAGGTCCTTTCCAGTCAAAGGATATTTAAGATATTTTAATATCCTAAAATTCCAAAGAACTACAAACATATTACCTCCCTGCATAATATCCATACACAAAACATTTATCCAAATATCACAATTTTTTTGTGGGGGGGCTCAGCCTGTCCTGAGGGCATGGCTGGCACGGCATATGGTGCCAGGGATCGAACCGCGGTCCCCTGCACCTGCCTAAGCTGGCCTAAGCAGGTGCTTTAGACTGCTGAGCTATCTTGCTGCTCCTTACAAATTTTAGAGTAGCTTCTATTTCACTGTATTAGTCACATGTGCAATTACATAAATTTAAAGACTAATTTCATATACTTCAAATCACAGCAGCAAATAAAAACCATACTTACAGCATTCTCCCCAAGTAAACGTCAACCACCCACTCTCCAGCCACAGGCTCACAGTACCAAGAGTGACCTTTGGCTCTCTGGCTCACAGTGGTGAGTGACCCTTGCTGCTCTCTGCCAGCAGTACATGCAGCCTGCTTCACCAAGAGCCTGTGAACAGCCAGGCTGAGCTTCCAAAGGCCAGGTTAGTACACAACTTGTAAGCCTGAGACACTTAAGGAAAGCAAGATTGCCTATTTTTTAAAATCATGACACATACACAAAAAAACAACTAAAGAACAAAGACCTGGGGCCAGGGAGATGGCTCAGTAGAATAAGCGCTTCCCTGGCAAGAGCAAGGGCCTGAGTTCAATCTCTGGTCCCGGAAAAAAAAAAAAAAAAAAAAAAAAAAGAACAAAGACCTACAACCAATTTCCAATTTGCAGTCAATAAAAATAGTAAACTCTGACTGCAAAAGTCACAAGATTTAACTTTCTAAATTTTACTTTTCTTTGAAAAAAATGATCATCATTCTATTTAATCTTTCAAATAGAAACCTTTAATAATAATAATAATAATAATAATAACAACACATTAAACAGTTACTCTCTGAAGAACCACATTGCATTCATCCATTTTTCTCTCAAGAATTAATTAATTATAAGCTTATTCTAACAAATTTAAATCAAACAGGTAAGACTTCAAGTCACCATCTATAAAATGAGAAGCAAACAAAAAAGAGGTCTGTTTCCAGAATATAAAACATTAAAAAACAAAAATAGCTTCACATGTAATTCCTGAGTTATTTATGGGAGAAAAATAAGTGAACAAACAATTTTCAACAAGCTGACTACTGTAACCCAGGTTTTTAGAGCGATCAATAAATCCACAACATTCTTTAATACTGAATGAGTGAGCAACAGGGTACCTGCCTGTTTCCCACTTTTAAAAGAAAACTGTCTTCATAGTTAAAATACTACAAAATAAAAATCAAAAGAAAAGTCTTCAGCTAATTTTAAAATGAGAATTGCATTAAAATGACATCAGCTGATATGAGAAATGGGCATTTTCAATTCAAGATGTCATTACTTAAAAATCTGACAAATACCTAAGCTTAAAGTTCAGGCAATACAGGAGAAATACACATGCCTTAGTTCTCAAAGCTCATAAAACACCAAGTGACAGACAATTCAATGTACCATGGTCTCGCCCTGATGGTTCAGCTCAAAGTCTAACATTATCTCCAATGATTACTCTGGAGAAGTAACAGCTTTTCTTGGGATTACACAATTAACAATATTTACTGAGCACATACATGCCCAGCTCTATAGGGAATATATCACCATAGGATAATAGTCCTTACTTAAGTTTATAACCTAATAGAAAAAAAATTTTTTTTTAAATAGCAAAAAACAAGCCTCACAAACACATTCTGTGCTCAGAAAAGGAGAAGCTGATGTGCGGCTCTTCAGAGCTCATGGAAGAAAAGTAAAGTGCTAGATTCAGTCTTAGGGGATGATGAAGGTGCACAGAGAAGGATTACATAAAACGGCTAGAACGAATACACAGAAATAAAAAACTATGACTGGAGATGAGGTTAGGATGAAGGATAAAAAAAGCAATACATGGGAATAAGGGATGCATCTTAAGAATAAGAGGATATACATCTTAAAAACCAGAGAAAGATAAAGTCTTATAAAAGTTGGCAAAGCAGAGTTTGGCAGCAACATCACGCAGAGCAGCGCAAGCTACCTCCGCGTCTTCCCTGCTTTTTGGCTTGCTTTCCTGACAGGAAAAGTACGACAAACAACACACACCGTCAGTACCTCACTTCCGGAGTCCAGCGGCCTCTTCTTCCTGGGGCCGATGGCGGCAAGCGCGGTGAGATTAGCATCTCTGTGCTGTATCTGGGCGAGCTCCAGCTGCTGCAGCTAGAAGACAGAAAGCCAACGTTTACACAGTCAGTGTCACTAGGAGAAAAACCCCTGCCTCTGTATCCTTCCCCAGCCAAAGTCATATGACAAAATAAGTATTAGATTCCCTACTGCCAAGCAGAGGTTTTCTGATTTCTTAATCCCACAACTCTTCAGTCCTTAGTCTTTAGCAAAAAATACACAACTTGGGTAAGGGGAACTGCAGGATAGAGAAAACAAAAAAACAAGAAGGCATATAAAGAGTAATTTATTTCTGCCTAGGTTAAGAACAAGTAAGAATTCTAAAGAGTAAGTTGAACAGCAAGTTAGAGAATGGACTGCTCAAACTATAGTCAAACTTTTTATATTAAATTTTTTTCATAAATTTTTCATAAGACAGGGGAGGCCTGGCCCTAGCTCAGTCCTTTAAGTGGCTGCTTCCACAAAGCTGTCAGCCTCAGGTTGCTGGAGTTCGAACCTCACAACTTTCCCGCTGGCCAAAAGTGCCCTGAAGGCATTCGAGGAAGAAAAAAAAAAAACAAAAAACCCTAATTTTTCATAAGACATAGTTCTACCACTTTCTATGAGTAACAAATCACTTCTTTAACTCTCACAATCGCAATGAACTATGCACTTATTTTGTAACACAAAAACTAACTTCTGTGCTATCCCATTTTCTAACAGGGACAAGGAGGCTCTGAGAAGTGAGGCCAGCATCCCACAAGTCCCAGCAGCAGTAAGGGATAAAATAGCTCTGAAGAGCCAAGCGCTCTTCTTACTAAGGCTTTGGCACATTATACTCTCACTAGGGAATAAAAATCATGGATTTAGCTATATTTTTATTCATAGCAAAAACTGAGAGTGATACAAGTAGCTGGCTGTACAGTTTCTGTCACATGTCAGAATGTGCAATTCTATGAAGTATTATTTTTCAGTGTGTGAGCAACAGTATACTGGGTGTGCGTGAAAGAGGAAGGGGAGGGAGGAGAAGGAGAAGCGTGGGGGAGGGGACGGAAGGGGAGAGGAGAGGGAGAAACACTAGCATTTCATCAAGGCAGCTAGGGTCAAGTTAGAGGCTGTTTTTAAAAACAAGGAAAGAAAGTAAACATAAAATCCTACTACAAAGGACCTCAAGCTTTCAAGAGGAAGAATAACAGGCAATTCCATCACAACCTTGTTACTACAGAGGGACACAGGGAAGAAGCTCGGACTATGTTAGGACTGAACTAAAACTCCCAAGAAGTCCTCTGTGGTGGGGGCCTGGTGCTCACAGGCGGGAGCTCTGTACAGCAGGAGGCCTCTAACTGCACCAGTTTGATGGGCTTGGGGTTCATAGCTCTGTGGCCTCGTCCAGAGGTGGGCCAACTGGATGAAGCAGCGCAGAAGGGCGCCCTTGCAGAGTAGACTCTCTTCCCAGTGCCCTTCCTCCCTGACTTGTCTGCTCCCTGCTTCCTGCTTGCTCCTAGCTAAGCGGCTTCCCCTGCTTCCTGCTTGCTCCTAGCTAAGCGGCTTTCCTCCGCCAGGCACTTGTGCAGCAAAGCGACGTCTCTGCACTGCTGGAGCCTGAAAGCAACCTTTCCTCCCTTAAGTTGTTTGTTTCAGTTATTTTGTCAGAGTGATGGAAGGCCGACGAATGCAGGATGGTTGATAGTTATGTACTTAAATACAATCAAACCAGTCCCTGGAAAGTAATCTGGGCAAACATCCTATACACTGGGGAATTATTTTAGAATCACTAAAGAAGTGTACGTACATGCTGCACAAGAGCAGTATAAAAACAGGAAATTTTAGGAAGTAATCAGTCTCAGAAAGTTAGTATGTAAGTAAACCCCACTTTCAGACCACTTCAAATTTTGTAAGTACTAGGACTGACATTGACCACCAATATTTAGTAAAATAAACACCTGCCATCGTCAAATGTGTGTGTCCCCCTAAAATTGCAATACTGAAATTTTCGCCCTCATGGTGATGGCACTAGTGAGGTCTTCGTGGGTGATGAGGGCTAGAGAAAGAACACGCAGAGGGAATCCGTGGAGAGCCCCCTCACTGTGACCTCACGGGAACACACTGGGAAGGCGCCAGGTCTCAGGACTAGGTCCGCAGCAGACGCCAAAGTGGCCCACGCCTCGGTCTTGGACTTGGACTTGGAAGCGTCCAAAGGTCAGAAATAAGGTTCTGCTGATTCTACGCTATTCGCTCGGAGGCATTTGTTACAGCAGCCTGAACACATTTAGGAAACAACTGAAGACAGTGAACTAAAAATCCCTTTCTACTTGCTTCACAAGTTACAGGACAGAAATCCTTCTTTGTATTGTTAATTTTCTTACAAATAAAATGTAGAAAAGTGTTTCCACAAGCTATAAAATCTTTTGTGGTGGCTGGCCTTTTTTTAAACAAGAAAAATTATTTGGTTTGATGCTACAATAATCTAGAACTTCTAGGTGACAAAAACAAATTTTAGTTCATCTACCCTGTAGCACAAAATCAAACAACAAACTATACTTCAAGTGAAATAGTATCTATAAAAATGGTGGCTGAGTGGATGGGGAGATAGCCTGGCATCTAAGCGCCTGCCTGGGAAACGCAAGGACTCGGATTCAATCCCCTGCACCGCGTGCTGTGCCAGCCCCAGAACCCCGGGTGCACTGTGCTGGCCCAGAAATGGCATCGTTGATCACGACTGTAATCCCCGTGCTGAAGACCCTGTACCAAATAAGTAAATAAAAGTAACAATAATAATAAAAAGATTTCTTGCCTAATACCTCAGCACCTGGGAGGCTGGGGCAGCAGGACTACCATGCGTTCAAGCTCAGTTCAAGGCCAGTCTGCACTGCATAGCAAAACCCCATTTCATAACAAGCAGTTTTAAACCTCCTGCCTTTAAGTTCCTTTTTCTATGTAATACTACATTGTCTCCTACTTGACAAACTGAAGTTACACATATATTTTAGAAAATTTTGCAAAAGTCTAATAAAGATGGAAGCTGAACATAGTTTTGGTTGGCTCTGTCCTGGTGACAAACTTCTCAGAAACATCTCCTAACTAGCACAAAACAGAAACTGGGTGCAAGTGGAAGGAGATGGAGTTCTGAGCTCTGACAGACTTAGCGTCAGTGATTTTTAGTTTAGCAGACAATCAGCCAGAGACAGAGGCTTTACAGTGCAGACGGCACAGTTGTCTCTGCGGAAAATACCAAGTTACTTATGATACAGACACAAAGGCATCCTAGGACCAAAGAGCGAAAGTATAAGATGTCACATCAATACACACAAACGTCATCTTTCTAAGCATCACAGAGGTAGAACATACTACATTTAAGTAACGTCGTTAACGTAGCTTTCCCACGAGGGAAATCCTGAGGGTAAATTTAACACTTGCAGATATGCGTATGCTGCAAGTCACAGAACACTCAGGAAAGAAATGAGAGCCAACAGGAACCAATGGAAACATACTCGTGTTCAAGAATTGTAAGATTCAACATAACAAAGGTTTTGATTCTGTCCACATGGAGCTCTAGATGTAACATGATTCCAACACAGATTTTTGGGTAGGTATGGACACAGTGACTCTGAAATGTGTATGGGGGCTTAGAAATATATAGTTCAATGGTAAGGTACTTGCAAAGTATACATGAGACTGAAGGTTTGATTTCTAGCACCAAATAAATTAGTAAATAGTTTACATGGAGGGCAGAGGAACTGGAATAGCTAATTTGAGGCGGGGTGATATGTTCAAAAGCAGAAGAGTCCCATCATGTGATTTTAGGACTTACAGTGCTGCAGTAATCAGGGCAATGTGATGCCTGTAAAGGGAAAGGCATGCAGGAACTGAGGAGCAAATCCAGAAGCAAGACCCGCATAAACATGGCCAGCTGATATTTGCTCATGTTGGAAAATATTTCAGTTGAGAAATAACAAAATTTCTGGTCTTGACCAAGCACCAGAAAGTTCCTCTGAACCATTTGCTCAACTAGATCTCAATGTAAGCTTTAAAAATCTGAACAAGGTGCTGGGGAGATAGCTTGGCAGTCTAAGAACCTGCCTGGCAAGCACAAGGACCTGGATTCGATCCCCAGTACGGCATACCGTGCCAGCCCTGAAACTGAGCATGGTGATGTATGCCTGCAATCCCAGTGCTGGGGAGGCTGAGACAGGAGGATCACTATGAGTCCAAGTTATGTGGCGAGACCCTGTACCAAATGAATAAATACATAAAATATTTTTCAAAAAAATTTTTAAAGAATTGAACTAGACATAGTCTATTATCAATTCCAGGTTGCATGCTTATGCTGACTGAATTTGCCCTCAAGGGCCTACCCGAGGACACACAAGCTGGCCAAAGCACCGCGTTGATTTCGGTAAAGAAGTGAAGACACAGCTGCCGCCTCTGTCCTCTGTGCATGGGCAGAAGCATAACTCCAGTGAGTAACAGTCGGAGTGCCCAGAAGTGTTTCAAATGGGTCAAGTCCCTCCCAGTTGCCAACATTTTTCACCGCCGTGGCTCCTCTGAGCTCGTGCTCACCTCTGCCCAACTCTCTCACTCCCCCATTAAAAATGCCTCTGCAGGGCAGGGCACATAGCTCAGTGGCACAAGCACCTGCCTGGCAAGCGCAAGGTCCTGAGTTCAAGCCCCAGTATAAATAAATACATAAGCCTCTGTACAGATCAGATGAGCCAAGTTCCAATCATGATGAATTCTTTCCCTACGTCTGTTATGATTAAAATCTATCCTATCACTTTAATGTCCACCACAATCTTTGGAAAATGCTTTAGGAGTCACTGCATGTCCAGTGCGAAATATGTCAATCTGCCCCAAGTCTCCTATCTTGCACAAAAGTAACTCAAAACAAAACCATGAACTTCTAGGGAAAAAACTTGGAGACAAATCAGCCATGACTTGAAGTCCTAGACATGGTGTACAAGGCATATCTATGTTCCATGTAAGAAAAATTGAAAACTAGCTCTTTATCAAAATTCAAACATTTTGATTTGTAGAAGACACACTTAAGAAAACAGAAA